GTTTTATTAATATTGTATCTGTAATTTATATATGTTTTTACATAACTATGGTCTCTCTAATTTATTTTTTTTCTTCCATCTTCTCAGATTGTCATCATCCTCCAATGCTCTTGATTCATACTGCAAAAAAAGGTACATGGAATTTATACAATCCCATGACTGACAATGTCCTTGATGTGCAATTCAAATTGCCAAAGAAGCGATTTTGTGGTTTTGCAAAAGGATGGTTAATAGCTATGAACATGAATTTGGTAGTAACCCTACATGTTTATTGAGATCGTCTTTGTTAACAGACTGATAATCACAAAGGTTGCAATCTCCCATCTACAACCAATGAAAAATATAGCATTAAATTTTAATGTCTCCAAATTACACTTCACTGAGTGACTGCAAGTCATTATAATAAGGACACAAAAAAATTTAAAAGACTATAAAGTTATAAACTAAGAGTAAGAGATATATATACCACTTTTAGTCCTTTAGAAACACTCCCAAATGGGCTCTTACTTTACTTGCAACAAAGATATTAATAATAACAATTTGGAAGAGAATAAACCCTTCCCTATTAGTGTCCAAATGGAGTTCCAATCTTATCACAAAGGATTAAGTAAGAAAGTAAATATGAAAAAAATGATGAGAAATTTTCTTGAGATTCTGTAATGTGAACCCGCACGAGTCTCTTCATTGGATTCTCTGTTTGATGCCACAACAATAGATACAGTGAGGAAGACCATAATAACCGATACAGAAACAACTAGACCTCAAAGGCAAGGCTTGAATAAGGTTCTATACCGGACAAAAGCCATACGTTAACTTGACGATAAGAATGCTACCGTTTGCTATATATAAACCCACTTCATTTATACATAAGCGATAACAAATAAGGAGGATTCAAACACTTAATCCCGAATACAGTACTAATTCCTTTTAATTACTCAACTTGAGTTATAAGCATTTTGTAGTCAATAATAATTGTCCATAGAACCTTTGGAACTTACATCTGCCCATAGACTCTGTTTCCATCAGAATTTTTTGGTCTGAAATCTTGCTAACCGAGAAACAAGAAGAGGCTTTGTGGTGGGTCACCTGGTCTCTATTATTTGGTAAGATTTGTCTGTGAAGAGGTCATGTTGATCTTTGAAGACAATTTGCATTTGAATTAATTTTTTACTTGATCCAACATTGCTAAATTTGATTACTATACTCTATTAATTTACATATCACATTAACTATGAAGGCAAAAAGTAAAATGCAAATTGTCCATTCAATTCAAACTAGAAATGAAGGCTTGCAAAACACTGTTTCATTTCATAAAATAAGCAGTAAATAATACATTTTAAAAAAAAAACATGTATATATATGAATTCATAAGGTTAATAGGCGGTATAAAAAAACTAAGAGGATGCATTACAATTTACAAGAGACGAGAAGAATTTCTAGAAAATTTGTTGATGCTCAGATGTGTTGCGGTTCTATTATTTAGTGACTAATGTAATTTTTTTTTCCCCTCTATTATTAAGCATGTGCACTTGCTCAAATGTAATTGTTGGTATGTTTGATTGCAACTTACTTTAAAGTTTGTGTAATTTTTTCTGTGCCGTGAAAGAAAATCTAAGGAACTAAATCAATAGCCAAACTTGGCCAATGGGGTCTTCCCACTTTTGATATAAAAAAAAAGTCAAAATCAAAATCAATAGCCAAACTTGCTCGTGATACACAGCCGTATGAAAAAAGAATTGATGGATCGAATGGCTCAGGCAAAGTACTTGAAAATCAAGGCTAGCCCATCTCATTTTCCAATTCTACATTCGCCAAGAAAATCTAAAGTAGCATAGCTATTAGCTATAGTTAGCATGTTTCCCTTGATAGTGTATCTTCCAACTCCTCCATAAGTTAAGTCCATAAATAGATAAATAGAAAGCTCTCATTGAGGTCAAAGTGAGTAGTCCAGCATCCTATAAATGTGTGTGAGAGAGAGACTTGCTATTTGATCTCTAAGATATAATATCCCCATGATCAAGGTAGGCCCTACCTTTTCTTTGGGCAATCTTTTTTCCTTGCAGTGCAGGAGGAGGGAGGGATACATTATACATACATGTCACTATCTGGGTTATATCGTATATATATTGGTTTCATTTCTTTAGCACCAGAGAGAGAGTGATCATCGTTGTGAGATTTTTGCCATTATCGCATGCAGATGCAGTCCGTAGGTACGTATAGGTGAGCATTAGAGGGGGTGTGGATCATAAATATATACTTTGTTTTTCAGCTAGCATCATGTTTTAGCACAGAAAAAGATGAGTAAAACATTTGTTGACCAAATCGAAATCAAATTACATAAAGCCACAAACTCACAAACATATATCTCCTTGTCAGTCGATCATAACTAGACTAGTTGGCATGCATGACATTGCCAATGCGGGCCCCTACTTCACAATTACTCATCCCCCATTAGTCAAATATCAGTCATTACAACAAACTTACCCATTCGTAGCCTAGGGTTTGAAACTTTCTTATTTGTATATGTATTAATATTATCATAAATTCACTTGCTTCTTGAGCTCATTAATTTCATTCTGGATTGTCCTGACTCTCCTCCATTGCCCACAATGTGTAAACAAACAGGCCACCCATCAAAGCAATTGTCCTTCTCTCCAATACTCCAAACTCCCCCCCACCCGCAACTGCATCCTAAATCCTAATCCACACCCACAAATTCAAAAAGAAAATCAAAAATCCAAATTTGAAAAGGAAGAAAAGCATGTAAACATTGGTAAAGTTTTGATTTTGAAATGCATGCAGAAACTAGAAAATGAGAGTGAAATGAATTACTAAATTGAATTGTACTTGCCTTGGTGTCCAGTAAAAATGGCAATGTGGCATCTGTGAGTGGGAGAGAAGTTGACTTTAGGTGGTGAATAAATGTGATAACGATGATGGTTAGAGTTGGACTTGGTTAGTGGTTAGCTGACTTGGCAATTAGTCGGGTGCAGATTATTTAAAGTTGTTAAGAATGGTTAGTTTCTTATCCTAACAACTCAGCGGTCTGTTAAGCTTGTGTAATTATAGTATAAATAAATACTCTATGGTTAGTGTAAGAGATTCATTATGTACTATAAAACTCAGAAATTACAGAAATAGATCATAGAGTATTGTATAAAACTCAGTTATTAATATAGAGTTTTCTCTCTATATTAATTCTTCGTAGCTGTAAAGGACCCACTAATATAGTGGTTTGGAAAAATTGTTTTCCCAACAGTGGCGGAGCCAGAAATTTAAGTGAGAGGTGGCACATTTAAAAATTCAAACTCTTTTTACTTTCTCTATAATATTACTATAACTAAATATCCGTACAACAATATTTGAGGAGGGGCACATGCCTTCCTTGGGCATGCATTGGCTCCACCACTGTTCTCCAAGAAAGGCATTGGCTTCGAATCCTAGTATCTATGTAGTGTGTGTGAGTTTAGTATACAATTGCCCCTCTCAATAGGAAAGGTCCTGAAAAAAAATTCTTCATAGCTCTTCTCCATTGTTTTTCATTTCTTTGTTCTCTGGCTTCTGTTATCATTATGGTGGTGGTGATGAGCTTTTGATGACTAGTCTGGTTGAGTCCTTGGCAATACTGGGTTTTTTAGGGATCGAAGAATGTTCAATTTTTGAGAGACATTGAGTGGATTTTTTGGGGAAGAATACGGAGTTTGAGGAAGCTTTGGTAAAAATGTGTGACATGCACAAGGAATTTTGTTTAAGAAATAAAGTTGGCCTGCCATTTTCATGAAGCATTAATATGATCAATTTATTCTCTCATTTGCACATGTGGGTTAGACGACTTGATATCAGGACAGTGAGTCCGTTCTCATTTGATTTTTTTTTTTTTAAATCATTTTTGTTGGGTTTTAGTGGAATCCATCACATCACATTGCTACATGATTAATATTATATATAGATAGCATGTTGCATTTTTCTCATTTAACCTTTTTTAAAAATCATGATTATTTTAACCAAATGGAGAACACCATTATATTTGTTTGTCTATTTGAAAACAATTAGATGTGTGAATTATAAGAAAAAGTTATCAGCTAAAGTATATTTGTGCATATTAACAGTTTCTCAACATACGTTGGTTAGACAAATTAATCTGTACACTCAAGTTCGAGTTCGAGTTCGACTTCTTATTTCCGTAAATTAGATTGTGTAATCTAGATTATGAATTATTTAAAAATAAATATATATACATAGAAATTGAAGATACATAGCTTTATGATCCAGCCTCGAATTTAAAATCAAGCAATATCAAACGTTTAGCTCATAATGCTGAAAATGGCCCTTGGGTCAAATCTGCTCCGACCCCATGTCTATTCACGGGTTTGGAAATCATGTGGTCCATATACATAAACTATAGGCCAAGCCCGGCCACCTTGATGGGTCAAATGCTTCAGGCAAAGTACTTTTTTTTTTGGGTCGTACTTGGAAACCAAGAAACATCATGAATATCCAGAAAAAAGAAGGAAAACTTCTAACACTGCAATTTTTCGTTACCAAATTTGTTTTAAAAAGAAAACAAAATTGAAGAAGAGTTCAACGCCTTTAGATCAATGAAAGAATTGGTTTAACTATGCTTGGGACATGTTACAATTTTTTAACGAATATTCATCTTAGGAGTATGCTTAACGTTGTGAAATTACAATTCAACGGAAAAAGATTTGTTTCCTGTTTAGTTTCCTTCGTGGTTTTAGATTCCTATTTCATTTCCTACTTGATTTAGGATTTTTTTTATTTTAATCATATTTTCTACCTGTGTAACCCCAGGTCTTATGCATTATCGTGGTTTTAGATTCCTATTTCAATTCCTACTTGGTTTAGGATTTTTTTTATTTTGATCATATTTTCTACCCATGTAACCCTAGGCCATATGCATTATAAATAAGACTTTTAGGGAGTCATATTATTTGTCTGTGAGAGTATGCTATAAGCCAAATTCTGAGTGAGTGTGAAGAAAACACCTACATACGATCTTCAATCTTCTTCTTCTGGGTTCTCACCAAAACAACAAAATCTTCTTCTTAAGTGTTTGAACGTATGGCTTCAGGTATGTTTTCTTAAAATCAAATTACTGTTCTGTTAATGTCAGTATTTGGTATTATGATATCTTAACTATGCATACATCAAATTGGTATTATGTACATCTTTTTTAGGCCAACTGTTCAAACTTGATCTTTATTTTGCATAGTTCACTTAGATGCATGACATGACATGCAATGTTATCTCCATATCTCATACTATTATTTACTTAAACGTATATTTAATTCTTCATGACATGAATAGAGATAACGGGTCTTTTTTCTTTCTTTCTTTTTTACTTTTTTTGGGTTTGTTTCGTGCATAAAAACTGTTTTATTAATATTGTATCTGTAATTTATATATGTTTTTACATAACTATGGTCTCTCTAATTTATTTTTTTTCTTCCATCTTCTCAGATTGTCATCATCCTCCAATGCTCTTGATTCATACTGCAAAAAAAGGTACATGGAATTTATACAATCCCATGACTGACAATGTCCTTGATGTGCAATTCAAATTGCCAAAGAAGCGATTTTGTGGTTTTGCAAAAGGATGGTTAATAGCTATGAACATGAATTTGGTAGTAACCCTAATAAATCCATTTTATAGGGTTAAAGGGAAGAAAAAGAGAGAAGATTCCATCATCAATCTTCCTCCGCTAGACCGTAATTATGGTAATTTTTTGCATGAACAAGTGATTGCTGCCTTTGTCATCAAGGCTACAATATCAGCAGATCCAATATTAAATCCCAACGATTGCATTGTTGTTGTTATGTATGAGGGAAGTGGTAAATTGGCTTTCATCAGACTCAATAAAGACACAACATGGACTTACGTTGATGAAAGCCTATCCTTTATTCAAGATGTTGTTCATATTGAAGATAAGTTTTATGTTGTTAAAGAAGGGGGTACACTTTTTTCTTTTGATATTACTAGTCAGTGTATCTCCAATAAACAATTAGTTGCGCAGGGCATCGAATCTGATGAGGTGCAGAAGACATATCTCGTGGTTTTAAATGATAAAGAATTATTGATGGTTCTAAGGTATATTACATTTAAAGATGGATGTCGTGTGACGAAGAAAGTTGGAATATTCAAATTGAATTTTGACGAGTATGAGTGGGTTGAGAAAAACACCTTAGGAGATGTTGCTCTCTTTTTGGGTGATAATTTTTCAATATCTGTAGTGGCTTCGAATTTTTCAGGATGTCGATCGAATTGCATATACTTCAACCATGATTATGAACGTATAGAAGGCGGTTATGACAAAAAGCCTTTGCGTCGTGATTTTGGTGTTTATGACGTTGAACGTCAAAGCTTTTCACAACCTTACACCCCAGATGCTAAGGCTCTTATGGAGAAGACCATGCAACCTCCATATTGGGTAGATGTACCAACTTTCCTTTTGTAAGAAAATAAGAAGATTACTTGTTATATTTCTTCTTACTCTTTGCATTAGGTTTAGTCTTTAATAATCCCAATGATATTCAGAGAAGTTCTCTCATGCATTACAATTTACAAGAGACGAGAAGAATTTCTAGAAAATTTGTTGATGCTCAGATGTGTTGCGGTTCTATTATTTAGTGACTAATGTAATTTTTTTTTCCCCTCTATTATTAAGCATGTGCACTTGCTCAAATGTAATTGTTGGTATGTTTGATTGCAACTTACTTTAAAGTTTGTGTAATTTTTTCTGTGCCTGTGAAAGAAAATCTAAGGAACTAAATCAATAGCCAAACTTGGCCAATGGGGTCTTCCCACTTTTGATATATAAAAAAAGTCAAAATCAAAATCAATAGCCAAACTTGCTCGTGATACACAGCCGTATGAAAAAAGAATTGATGGATCGAATGGCTCAGGCAAAGTACTTGAAAATCAAGGCTAGCCCATCTCATTTTCCAATTCTACATTCGCCAAGAAAATCTATTGACCCAAATAAACATTGCCAGAAAAATAAAAAATAAAAAAAGTTTCCAAATTGATTAGGACCGCGCATAATCGAGAACGTCAGAAAATAAAAATATTCAGACGAATACAAAATGGAATTTTCATTCAAGAAGAAACAGATGGCTGTCAATAATATCTTCTCAACTGTTGATGGAGTTTTCACAAAAAAGGATGTTGAAACCCTGCAACACACTGCCACAATATACATACAAGAAACCTTAACCTATCAAATTGTGTGTTCCAAAATACATACACGTTGTATCTTGGAGTCTTGTAGATCGTCAGTTCATGCACGTAGGGAGGCTACAAAGGCTTTAAAACAGCGTCTTAGACGTGCTTCACTGTACCAAGCTCACCTTCTTACTTATAATTTATTTTGCTTTTACTTACCTATCAATTTGTTTTCTTCAATTTCATTATACCTTAAAATCTTTCTAATTTGTTTATATGTTATTTATAATATAAAGGTTTTAGTATTTGGCTTTACAAAAAAGAGGAAAACTATAATTTTTACAACATTTTGTTCTTGGTTCTCCACCCTTTGTGGAACCTCCACCAACTCCTTAGTATCTCTAGGTATAGATTGAAATATACCCGCACAAAATTCAGCTTCTCTACATTTGATAACTGTGTTAACACTTATTTTTTGGTTCTATGACAAGAAACCTATAGCCTTTGCTATGTTCCGCATATCCCAAAAATATGCATTCTATTGCTTTTGGTCCCAACTTATTTATCTTAGGTTCAGGTAACTTAACTATGGCTCTACAACCCCAGACTTTTAAATATCCTAAGTTGGGTTTTCTTTTGAACCATAACTCGTAAGGAGTTAGTTTCAAGTTCTTTGTAGGAACTCTATTTAATAGATGACAAACAGTGAGCATTGCCTCTCCCCAATAACCTTTGCTAAGGCTTGAGTTTAGTAACATAGCATTCACCAGTTCCACAAGAGTCCTATTTTTTCTTTCCACTACACCATTTTGTTGTGGTGTATAAGCAATAGAGGTTTCATGCAAAATTCCCACAGATTCACAATAGGATGGAAAGTAATACTCTCCTCTATCGGATCTTAGATACTTGATTTTGATTTCACAAAGGTTCTCTACTTTATTCTTATAAATTTTTTACTTATCAAGTACTTCATCCTTAGTATGCATAAGATAAACACAACAAAACCTACTATAATCATCAATAAAAATCACAAAGTATTTCTTTCCTCATCTAGTAGGTGTACTATGCAAATCACTTACATCACTATGAATGATTTGAAGTAAAGTAGAAGTCCTCTCTATCTTAGGAAAAGGTTTCCTACTTATCTTAGTTTGCATACATGTGAATATCACCAATGGTTAGGTGTATAAGGGGGTGTATATCACATTTACACCCTTTTTGGTTGGAAATACTTGTAATTGTTAGGTGTATATAGGTGTAAAATAGAATAAGCGGTGGAGATTCCAAAAAAGATGAGGTTCATATCTTTTTTTACATTTTGAAAGTGGGCCCCGCATGAGAGAAAGTAGAAGAGAGGAGAAAGAATAGCTGAAAATTTTCCACTTTTACTCGCCACTTTTGTTTTTTTGAGTTGCAATGTTGATTCCAGCACACTCAAAGTTGAGAGATTATTATATAAAAAATGGAAAAAAAATAGGACTTTTGCATGGAAAGGACAACGGCTCCAAATTCAATGGTGGAGGTTGTTTTTCATTCAAAATGAAAGGCCACCAGTTTATACCCACCTATTTTGTCATAAAATCATATGTTCTCCAAATTTAAATTTAAATTTTTCTTTTTAGGTCCATTTATTTGGAAAAATAAACCAAACTTAACACACAGAAAATTAATTTTAAAAAGTTAAAACACAAAAATGAATTAATACAAACAAATCGAATATACATGTTTGGATTTACATATTTCCCCACTGGAGCAAAAAATCGCATTTACACTATTCGGAGGTGTAAAGGGGATGTATTCTTGGCTTTATTAACTCTCAAGTTCTGTTGTCCATGTTTTTTCTTTTTACGCATGTGGTTAGAGTTGTGTCTCATGTTCTTTCTTCTTCTAACTAAAAGAATTTCGTGGGGTTTAAATCCCATAACATTTGGTGAGGTCATTAGTTTAACGATGTAAACAATCTAATTTTTAAGTCTCCAATCTATGTCATCTTACGAAATATTGACCAATCAAAAGTAATTTAACCAAGCTAATGGGTCTTTACCACCATAATAAGGTGGTGGGGAGGTTCAAATCCTCAAGGCACCAAGTTTGTTGTAATCGCCCCTTCTCTATCGATCAACTAGCACAAAAAAAATTATTTAACTGTAGTTTAAATCATGGTTAATTTAACCAAATGGAGAACACCATTATATTTGAAATTAGGAAATCGGGTGATTTGAAGGGGTAAATAAAAATTTAAGATACATGTCTTTTAGCTTTAGGATCCAATCTCAAATCTCAAATCAAGGCTTTTTGGGAAAAAAAAAATTATCAAATGTTTAGTTCATTATGTTAAATTGGCAATGTGTGTGAGAAGCCCCCATGTAGTTTATACTATCGCTTGTATTTTTAAAAATATAAAATATAAAAATTAATTTTTTTCAAAAAGGCTCTTACTTGTGTTAAATTGGTCCGACCCAATGCCTACTTAGATGTTTGGAATCATGTCGTCCATTGACAGAATCTGGACCAAATTAGATTTAACAAGCTCAACTGGGCCATCCAGGGCACCTTGATGGATCGGATGGCTCAGACAAAGTACTTGAAAATCAAGGCTAGCCCATCTCATTTTTGAATTCTACATTCGCCAAGAAAATCGGTTGACCCAAATAAACATTGCCAGAAAAATAAAAAATAAAAAAAGTTTCCAAATTGATTAGGACCGCGCATAATCGAGAACGTCAGAAAATAAAAATATTCAGACGAATACAAAATGGAATTTTCATTCAAGAAGAAACAGATGGCTGTCAATAATATCTTCTCAACTGTTGATGGAGTTTTCACTCAAAAAGATGTTGAAACCCTGCAACACAACTGCCACAATATATATACACGAAACCTTAACCCATCAAATTGTGTGTTCCAAAATACATACACGTCGTAGGTAAAACCTAATTACAAACATAATCATTGTCTTATTGATTTGTATATGTGGTTTCATTATTTTTGCTTCTTTTTGTTTTATACATAAAAATTCTAATTGGTGGATAGTTTTTGGTGATCATCTACAGCCACAACCACTGCAAATGCGACAACTCTCCCTTACCCCACCTCAAATTCCCCTTTCAGCACAAGACGATGCCAAGTTTAGAATGACTTGTGTTTTCATGGAGTGTGTGTTTAACTAACTAGTTATCGACTTAATTAATAATAATTAGCTTGAATTAGTCCCATAATGCATATGCAAGACAGCTTTAAAAGTCCATATTCAACCTAACACACAAGACTAAATCACAACTACTAGTTAGTGGCTACCCTAGCGGACACAACCAACTGGGTTTTTCTTAAGAAATGGTGAAATATGCTACGAAAGTCGTCCATGCATGAATGAGTATAAACGGACATAGAATTGGTATACAAGATTTATTTTAATTAGGAAGTTATTTATGTGAAGGTGACTTAGTCGTCACGCATACTAATGTTGTCTGTATTAGCACCAACATTTACAAGAAAGAAGTCCAAAAATCGACAACTAAAGTAGGGGGAATCGTAGGGTTGAAAATTAAGGCTAAACAAAAGTGTTTAAAGTTAATGGGAAGTTGACAATATTAATGGGGCTATGAATATAAAATAACATTCAAAACCAAATGGCGTAGGCAGAAAGGAGGTTGCAATTTTTGCATAAAGTGCCAGTGCCTTGTTTTTATCTTCTGGTGGATATTCAAAAGTCTCTCTCAAGTGAGCCAAACAATATCTGCTCCACCCAAACCCGTGTTTAAGCCGCGTCTAATAAGATAAAAATTAAGCCTTAAATAAAGAGTTTTTGTTTAATTATTTAAGCATATATAGCATTGTGAATAATATATTTCGTTAATCATATGCCACAGAATTTGCATTAATTTTTTATTAAGATATAGAAAAAATAATAAGAGTCGAATTTTTATCGTGAGTGTACGGACGAAAAGTATTGTTACATGACGTAGTTATAAGACTCGGCTCAATTAGTAACAAGTTGATGTGCAAATTAAATTATCAGTGGTAATTAACAAGACCTAGTGTTCTGACAAACAAAAAAAAGAATAAAGAAAAAAGTGACCTAGTCAAACTCAATCAACTATTTAATCCAGTTTCTAGGATATTAATTTTATTTTATGAACTTTCCACACGTAAAAAGTTCAACGTGGAGCTCTCTATCAACAGCGTCATGCCAAAAGCTTCTATAACATTCTACAAACTTTCGGTCATTTCGGGGCCAAAGTATTCTACAAGGAATCAAAGAATAATCTCGTGTTAATTAATATCCAAAAAAAAACAAAATTCATAAGGAAAACCTTTTGATTTGATCATCTAAAATCCGCCAAAATCAAAAGGAAAAGTTGATGATAAATGACATCATACGCAAGTTGGGACAAATTGGC